CTGGAAGAGAGCGGCAGAAGTGTACGACAGTTTTGGAGAACGTTGGAAGGGTGTGTGTGGGTTTTCAAGGTTTTTGGAACAATCGTAGGACCTCTGTGGCCTATTCTCTTACTTCTGAAACGACGGTAAGAGTTAATAAGGTGAGTGGGAGAAGATGGTGGGTTATCACGCGTCCTACCAGTGAGGGGGCTAGCTGGTAGGATGGGAGTATGGCATAGCAGCAGTAGAGATGGTGGCTCCGCTGCAGTCAGTCTTGCCGGAGTGAGGCAAAGCGGATCGATGGGGCTTTTTCCGAGTCGTTTCTGAAATTTCTCATGAAGTTGTCATAGACATGTCTGAAGTAGCTCTAATAGTTTCGAGCTAAAGCCGGGTGATGGTCGCGGTATCTCAATTTTCCAAATTCCATCCTTAGGCCAATTAATGTTTTCTAATAGTTCCTTGCGTCATTTTCTTGAAGTTGTCTGATGAAGTTTTCTGAAGTTTTCTGAACGTACTCGTTATGGGACGCTGGGCCCGGTTCCCAGTTTGTGCCAATTTGTGAGTATATGGTTGTATCTATGGGACGCTGGACCCGGTTTCCAGCAGGTGTTGCTCCCCACCAATAGATGGAGCTGTTTGTTTCAAAAAAGAAAAAGAAAAAAAAAAAAAAACAAGAAGAAGAAGGAGAAGAAGGATAGTGGAACCTGCAACGTCAAGAATGGTGGAGGAGAGAAGAAAAAGAAGTATGATAATAACAAATTCTCAAGAATGACTTGGCCATGTCACACTCTGCATTTAGCCACATCTTCTTCTCTTGTCTTGACATAAATTACGTAGAGCCCATGATGGACTTCGCTTACGGTGCTTGTAGAATACTGTGGTTTTTTTTTTTTTTTTCCGCTAAGGAGGAAACACGAAAAAACTGAAAAAAACTGAAAAAAAAATAAAAAATAAAAACTGAAAAAAAATTGAAAAAAAAGGAGGAAGAAGAAATCAAAGGAATTGTGTTGACAATGCCCCTGGATGAGACATTTGTCTCTTTCTTTTTCTTTTTTCATTTCCTTTTTTTTTCGGAGGGTGGGATACATAATACATTTCTTGTTCATGTCACTTGAAAAAAAAAAAAAAAAAGAGTGTCAAATCTCTCTCAACTGTAAAATACATTTAAATACTGAAATAGTAAATACTTAAAACACTTTTAGAAATTTGTATTCATGTAACTGTTTTTTTCACATTTTCTTCAAGTCAAATAATTGCTTTACTGCTAACGACGTCACTCAACTTCGTCATCAGGTCGTCAATGTGCAAGCTTCCTAAGTCGCCGGAGTGGCGGGTTCGCACCGCTAGCGTGGACGTCTCCACCTCCTTCGGGCCGACAACGATCATTACAGGAGTTCTCGCCTTCTCCGCATTGCGAATGAGTTTCGGCAGTCGCTCGCCGCTCGACAATTCCGCTCGGAATCCCGCGTCTTTCAGCTGCCGGACGACCTCCGAGCCATAGTCCACCTGGAGGTCTGTGACAGGGAGGACGCGGACCTGCACCGGGGAAATCCAAAGAGGGAAATCGCCGGCATAATTCTCGATCAAGATCCCAAAGAAGCGCTCCAACGAACCGAAGATCGCACGGTGAATCATGATTGGCCGGGCGCGACAGTTGTCCTTGTCGATGTAGAACAGACCGAATCGATCAGGCAGGTTGAAATCGACCTGTTGCGACGAAACAGAGGAGAAAAAGACCAAAAAAAACAAAGCGGGGAAATAAGCGAACCACCATCCATGTTACAAATCAAGCCATAAGAACCTGTTTCGAAATACATTAAAAAAATAAACAAATTAAAAAAAATTGTGGCGGTGATGGGGGATTGTTCGGGGAGCCAGGGGAGGTAGACCAGAAGGCAGCACATCATACAGACCCACCTCTCACACTCTTCCACCATCCGCCACTCTCATTTCTCCATAAAAATAAAAAATAAAAAAATTGTTTTTCTTCTCACAATTAACCTCCTTGCTTATCCCCTCTTTTTCCTTCCCTTCCCTCTCGCTTGATCCTCCAGCCATCCTTCTCACCATCCATCCTTTATCAGACACCAATCCTTTACCCAACCTGAGTTGCAATTCACACAGACAGCATACAGACTGAGACGGAACTGCAGATGATCACTTGCTACTAACGAGGGTGCAAGGATGCAAACCAGATTCCTGAGCAAGTGCTCTCTCTCTCTCTC